TGTGTGTGTGTGTGTGTGTGTGTGTGTGTGTGTGTGTGTGTGTGTGTAACAGCGGCACTAACCCAGGGCATAGGGATACACGGGGAATGGGCAGTGCCAAGCAGCACTCGCCCATGGCATAGGGATATGCGGGGGGTGGGGGGAGCCAGTGCACGCAGAACTCACCCAGGGCGTAGGGATACACGTGTGTGTGTGTGTGACAGCGGCACTAACCCAGGGCGTAGGGATACACGGGGAATGGGCAGTGTCCAGTGGCACTCACCCATGGTGTAGGGATACACTGGGGGGGAGGGCGGTGCACGCAGAACTCACCCCGGGCGTAGGGATACACGGCGACGGAGTTGGACTTCACGGCCCCGGCGTTGTACCAGCTGCGGTCGGGGTAGCGCACCCAGGAGGTGACGGCGCAGTGGTACCTCCCTTCGTCGGACGGCTCCACCCCATGGAGTCGCAGCCGGTGGCACTGCGGCCCCACCTTGTCCAGACTCATGTCCCCGCCTGACGCCCGCTGGCCCAGCTCGGCCACGCCCTCGCGGCTCAAAGACGCCACCATCCGGCCCTGGGGCTCCTCCTCCCCCACCGTCACCTCCACCCACCAGCTGACGGCCACGTGGACGGCCTGGGTCGACTCCACCGAGATGTTACACAGCAGCTCGGCCGTGTCCCCGCGGTAGGTGGCGGGGACGGGCAGCCACGCGTAGGCCTGCACCACCACGGCTGCAGGGGAGAGACAAGGGCAGCAGGGGTTAGTGCACCGGAGCTATGGCCCAGGGCCCAGATGCTGAGCCCACAGGCCTACCAGGGTCCGAACACCCCCCACTGGCTGAACCCTGACGCCGTCAGAGGCCAAGGGGCTGGGGCCACACATGGAAATGCAGAGAGGAGGAAACAGCTAAAAAACAACACAAAGTTGCCCTTAAGGCATCCCCCAGAAGGGGGCGCTGTAGGGAGCAGGGCAGGAGAACTAGCCATGGGGGAGCTCCTAGATACTCCAGCCCCGGCCTCCCCCAGCAGGGGGCACTGTAGGGAGCGGGGCAGGAGCGCTGGCTGTGGGGTGCTCACACCCAGGCCAATCACACCCTGTTGGAGCAATAGGAATCAGCATGGCCGGGGGCACAGGGCAGACGGCAGGAGTAGGGGTGCAAAGGGGGCCCCCCCAAATGCACACCAGCCCCCCACCCAGTCTAACTCTTGTACCTTCTGATTTCATGTGCACCTTCAGCCCCTGTGACCGGCTGTTGGCCACCTCCCGCAGCTGGGCATCAGGGGAGTGCACATAGGCCCGGGCCACGCAGCGGTAGGTGCCCGCGTCCCCTGGCTGAGCCGACTCAATCCGCAGCCGGTAGGCGCCTGGGGCGGGCGTCAGCTTCTGCAGCGAGACTTGGCGCCGGCCCACCTGGCTGTTGGCATAGCTCTCCCCGACGATGGCCACTCCATCCGTGTCCAGCTGTGCCACCAGCAGCCCGTCCCCCTCGCCCACCTCCCAGCTCACGGCATACGCCACGTGGGGTGCAGGGGCCGCAGGGCCTGACAGATTGCAAAGAAGCTCCAGGGCGTCTCCAGCGCTGAGCCGGACCTCGGGCGGGCTGGCCGACACTGCCAGCTGGCTCGCTGAAAAGGAACCAAAGAGAGAGCGGGGGAGTGAGAGCATCCACACAGCCCCGTCGGCACTGCCCTGCCCCGCCTCAAGGGACCCCATGCCCAGAGATCATTTCACCCAGCACTGACGTGTAGCCACCTCTGGGGTGGAGCATGGCTGCTGTTTAACAGCCACACAGCAATGCTGCACAGCAGGTAGGGGCAGGGGGTGAAGGAGAATTCTGCATTCACTTGAAGCTGCCCGGGGAAGGGGGTGCGTGTGTGGGGGGGAGGGGCACAACATTTCCCTGCCAAACTGCTGAGCCCCCTCACACAAACCTCAACCAGGGGAACCACAGAATCCAGCTCCCTCAAGGCCAAGGGTCCAATTCCCTGCCACCTGGCCCCACTTGGTCACTGGCACGGTGACCGTGCAAACACGACTGCTCTGATTGCGCTCACTTTGCACTGGAGGGAATGACTGACGAGATGGGAGACAACTGGCAATGCGGTCCCTGCTGGTGGGGACGGACCAAGAGGCAGGATCCGGACAGGCACAGGGCTAGCAGTTCCCACAGGGCCGGTGACCGATCCCGCCCCCCGCCTGACAGCATCAGCGAATGCCCTGCTGCCCCATACCGCCCTCCTCCTCATGGAAGCCCAGCCCAGCGAGCACCGACACAGGATGCGGCTTGGGGGCGGAGCCGGCCAGGACTCACCGATGGACTGGACAGTCACCTGGGCCAGCGCTGCCCGCTTCTCGGCGATCAGCTGCCAGCTGCCGTCGGGGTCCTGGATCCATTCGCCTACTGTGCAGTGGTAGGTGCCCGCGTCTCCCGGGCGCACCCGCCCAATGGCCAGCTTGTACTGCTCGCCGCCTGCCTTGGCCACAGAGAGCTCCCCAGACCGGTACCGCTCGGCAAAGTGCCCGCCAGCTTCCACGGTGAAGTCACGCCGCACCCCGACCACCTCCTGCAGCGTCTGGCGCCCCACGGGGGCATCCGGAGCCGACACCCCGAAGGAGACCGAGAGATGGGTGTGCTGCTGCGTCTGGCTCTGGGCCGTGCAGGTCAGCTGCAGCTCCTGGCCCTCCGACAAGCTGAGCTGCAGCGGGGAGGTGCCAGCCATGCGGCCTCGCAGAAGGGGCCTGGGTGTGGGGGCCAAGACCCCGAGCATGTCAGGGATCACTGCAGGGGTGGGGGGAGAGAGAGAGAGAGATGTGAGCAGGGTCAGGCCAGGCCTTGTCCTGCTGGTCACTGGAGCTAGGGAATCAAGATACCCAGAGACGACCCCTCTGCTCCACCACTAGGGGAAAGAGTGTGTGTGTGTACGTGTGTGTGTCCTCCCCTGCTCTAATGGCTCTTTACCTTTGACGTCCGATACCTCACCCCCTGCCCCCCATAGCTTTAATCCCCTTGGATGCTGCCCCGTGGCCATAAATGCCTGTAGGCCACAGACTGACGGGAGAGAAAACCCCGCAGCCCTAAGGACACCCTGAAGCAACAGCTCGTCCCTTTGGTTCTTCGGCGCCCCCTGCTGGTGGAAACAGGGCGTGGGCGCTACCCCAACACCAGGCAGGGAGTCCCAGCTGCTCAGTCACTAGCCCCTGCTCCAGTCTCTGCGGGGCACTGAGGTCCCAATGGGCCATGGAGCCCGAACTCCACTCTCACCCCCCAGGGGGCGCCACTGGGCAGACCCCTGGGTTGTAGCCACAAGGGGCCTGACCCTGTTAGGGCCTGAGCGCTCAGCTGCCGAGCCAGGGCGCAGGTTTGCGAGCTGCTGTCTCTGGCCCAGCAGCCTGCGTGGAAGTTGACAGCACCCGGCAGGATTGGGCTGCCCCCCCGCTGCCCCCCAGCTTTGGAGCCCCTTTCCAGAGCCTCTGGATGGTCTCTGCTAGCCCAACTCCCCTACCCAGCACTGGGGCTCAGGCTGCCCGGCCCTGGGGCGAGCGCACGGCTGCCTCCTGCCCAAGGGGGCCCCCTCCAGGGCAGGGCTGAGGCCGGTGGTGGGTGGGGTAGTGGGAGCTGCCCCAGGTCTGCAGATAGAGCCAGAGCCCTGGGCCTCTCTGAGGTGAAAGACCCTATTGCGCACCCCACCCATGCCAGGCAGGGAGAGCGAGAGGTATAGGTGGGGGGCGGGGGAACGGCTGGTCAGCTGGACATGCCTGGAGCTCCTGTGCCCCAGAGACACCCCAACCCACACCCCTCTCACCCCACAAAAATAATCCCCTGTTCTGCTCTGCGAAGGCTGCAGCATATCTCCCAGCCCCTCCCACTCAGCAGCTCGCTGGGCCCCTGGGAAGACCCCAATGGGCTAATCCAAAGAGCCCAGCCAAGTGGGAACATCCCACGGTGCAGCTGGCTCCTGGCCAGGCTCAGGGTCTGAGGAACTGCGGGGTTCCCCACGCTCCGTCCCGGTTCCCCTTTCTGAAGAACGAGCTCCAGGGGGGCGATGTTATGTCAGCCGCCCATGCTGCGTTTCCTGGCCTGCCGGCGCAGGGGAGTCCCACGAGTCGCTCCCTTACAGGAAAGGAAAAAGCCCCGAGCCTCTCCAGCAACTCCACACCGGCCACGCAGGAGATTCCTATGGAGGGCTGCTCCCACCCACCCTAAGGCCCCGGTTCCCTGCCAGGGTAACACGGAGGGGCCATAGTGTGGCTGAGAACCAGGCCCATGTATGTCTGAGTCTCACGCTCCCCATTCACGTGGGGCCAGCAGCACAAGCTGGGCTGTGTGGGGCAATCAGCACTGTCGTCTGGCGAGGGTCTGTGCAGACTCGTTGTTCTAGGTGCAGCCAGGCACGGAGTGCCTGAGCCCTGGACACTAGACAACAGGGCTGCTCGTTACCCTAGCCAGAGGCTTCAGCACCAGGTCAGCCCCCACCGCCCCAGGCTGTTACCAGTCCTAGCATAGGGGGCAGATCAGGGGACTGTCCAGAGCGCACATGGGGCGCTGGGTAGCAGAGTGTAAGTTAGAGCAACCTCAAAGCTGCTGTAATTTACACGGTGGGCAGGACTTGGTATGATCCAGACTATGGGGAGTGCATAAAATAGAATCCTCCCTGAAGCAACAGACTGAGGGCAGGGAGCGTTTGTACAGCGCCTAGCGCAATGGGGCTCTGCCCTAGGCCTGGCCCTTGGGTGCTACCATGGTACGTGGTCAGTCACTATAACAGGCTGAGGCTCCGCAGCCACCCACCTTCTCGTGCCTCATTTGCACCAGCACAAATTTGGTACGAGACACCATGTGACCGGCAGGCCGGCCCTCGCCACTGGTGCAAGTGACACACACGGGTCTGGGTGGCAGTGGAGAATTGGGATCTTTATTATAGTGATTCGTCTTGGCACTGGGGTGGGTGGGCGAAAAGGGGGGCTGGCTGTAAGGGGGGTTTACAGCCACCCTCCCTGTCTTGTCCCCAGTGCTGGAATGGGGTAACTGGGAGCCAGGCGGTGTGCATGGGGTCCCCCGAGCTACACGGTACCCAGGTACCTTTCAGCACCACCTTGCTGCTGTAGTTGCCGTGGTACATGGAGTCGGTGGTGGGCGTGTAGCACTCGTAGACACCGGCGTCCTCGGCCCGCAGCCGGGCGATGCGTAACTCGACGGCATCACCACGCAGCCGTTGCACTGACACCTCCCCGCTCTGCACGCGGGGGCCGAAGACGGCGTAGGGGAAGCTGGAGTCCCTGGTGCTGATCATGCCGATGGAGATCTCGGGCGCCGTCGGGCGGTACAGGAACCACTCAAAGTGCTGCAGCGTGGGGCCCTCGTACTCCGAGACGCTGCAGGGGATGGAGATGGCCGTACCCTCCACGCGGAACAGGGGCCCTGGGGGCAGGTGCACCTCCCGCGCCCCACACAGTCCTGCAGAGAACGGGGGGGGGGAGGGGGTTAGTGTCCGAGGGAACTACAGAGCACAGCCCGTCTCATCCCTCAGCCCAGTGGGGCCCAGGGGCTCCCATCCCCCATCTCTGTGCCCCCCAGGGGTCTGTGTCCCCACAGTACACTCCTCTTCCCAGGAACCCCCCCAATACATCTCCTGGGGCTGCCTCTAGGGGCCCCAACCCCTGCCAAGGACCCCCAGAACCCCATCCCCATCACCCTGCCCCCTTTCACTCCATTATCCTGGCCCCCCCATACCACCCCCCCTTCTCAGGCCCCCTATGCATCCCCTGGGGGTCCCATGCCACAGCCTGCCGTTTACTTCCTCTAGAGGCCCCATCCCCCTCCACAGTGAACAGCCCCCAAACAAGGGGCCCCATCCTCCACGCCCCCAATATCCCATCCCCCAGGAACATCCCTTGGACCCATCCCCCACCCAAGCAAGTCCAGAGAACCCCTCTCCCTGACAGTCAGTTGTTCTCAGCCCCCCACCAGCAACATGCTGCTTGTCTCCCTCTAGTGGCTGCTCCACAACAGGACAACAGCCTACTGCTGCCAGCAGCATCACTCCTTCAGCTCCAGCAGCGGAGGCCAGGGCCGTGGTGCGGGAGGCCCTGGCAATGATGCAGGCTGGCATGGGGCGGTATATGAACTCCCACTGAAAAGTGGCTCCCTCCAGCCTGGCCCTAGGTGCCTTGGCTCCTGGGGCAGAGATCAGGCCAGCTGGCAGGGGAGGGAAGGGAACTGGAGTGGCTTAAGGGGAGGAGGCCCTGGGACATGGACCCCAGATGGGAGCAGATGGGACTTGAGGACAGACAGCATCCATCAAATCCCTTGATCTTTCCAGCCCTGGATCCCAGATCTCTTCACAGCCCCGACCCCAAGGAGCTAAACCTCCCAGTCCCTGCTGCCGCTGCACAGGGAGGGAGAAGGGGCTGGCCCCAGGTCACACATCGAGTGGCTAGGAAAGGAACCCAGGAGTCCGGCTTCCGGATCTGTGCTCTAACCACAAGAGGAGGCTGCCTCAGGTTTGGTTTACAGAAACCGAGGGGCAAGTGATGATTTACCCCCCTCCCCTGTCATTCAGCCCCATAGCAGGGAAATCCTCAGCACTCCCCCAGTCCCAGCCCCCCTGCACCCATTGGACTCCACAACCTCCCTCCTAGCGTGTCCAGCACAACCGCATCCCCCACATCCTCTCAGCACATCTCAGGACCCAACACCTTCCCAGAGCCAGCTGCACAGCTTCCCCCTCTGCTCCCCCAGCCTCGACCACCTTCCTCTTCTGCAGCCACCCCAGCACAGCCTGTCTCTCTGCGTCTGCAACCTTCCTCTTCTCTGGTCAGCCCCGCAGGTGCAGGCTGCCAAGCCCCCGCTCCACCGGCCATCGCAGAAATGTCACTTTTGCTGCGTTGCTTTCATCTGCGAAGCGGTTTCAGATGGGGCCAGATTCCAGGCTGCATCCCCCAAGCGATCCAGCACCAGGCGGGGGGGGGGGGGGGAAGCGGGTTGCACTGCTACTGCAGGAGCCGAAGCAGCCCCCGGTGTAAGCCAGAGCAGTCCCAAGGCAGCTCTAACTTATGGCAGCTTCCCCAGAAAGCCTGTAGGGCTATGTAACTCTGCTGACTCCCCAGGCCTGTGAGGGGGCCACGTAGGTGCTCCTGAACCCAGGGAGTTCTCCCCCGGGGGTCTCATGGCTGCTGGAGCTCCACAGAGATGGGGGGGTTGGTTTGGAGCCTGGCATTGGGGTCAGTCTCAGCTCACCAGCCGCTTTCTTCCCCACACAGCCCTCTGCCCCATGGCCACTCCCAGTCTACAGCTGCCGGGAGCACAAGCCATGGCGCTGCCCGGGATTCCAGACACTGGGCCCGACCCCTTCCTGCCAGGAACTGGGTCAAGGCACAAGCGAGGAGCCCCGTCAGCCCTGGGTCCAGTCCTTGCTTTCGATCACAGATGGCATGAGTGTGGGAATCTCAGACCAATTCCTGGTGAACGTTCGTCTCCATCACAAAGCCACATGATTCGGCAGCATCTGCCCTGGGCTGGGATAGCTGGGGGTGGGGCCGGGGACGTGTAGGCTGGAACTGAGGGGCAGGGAAAGGGGGAGCCCTGGGCTGAGGTAGTGGGGGGAGGGGGGCTGTGGGTCAGAATTGAGGGATGAGATGGGAGCCTTGTGCTGGGATAGTGGGTGGGGAGGGGGCCCTGTAGGTTGGAATTGAGGGGTGGGGAGCTCTGGATTGGGACGGGGGGGGGGGGGGGGGGGGGGGGGGGCTGGGGGGGGGGGGTGACAGGCACTGGCGGGGCGGGGGGGAGAGGGGGGAAGAGGCTTTGCCCAGCTCAGCCGTTCCCTCGTGAGCAGTAAATTCGCTTCCAGAAGCCAGAACAGTGACTGGCTACACATTTGCTTCCTGCCCCGCTGGTGCGCCAGCCCCCAAGGGCTAAACCCCTCGCGCTGGAGGAGAGACGCCAACACTCCCTTGGCCAGCAGCCAGGAGAATCACACGGGCATCAACTGACTTCCAGGGCAGACGGGGGAGCCGCTGCGATTCCAGCCCTGGGGGAGTTCAGGGCGAGAGCTTCCCTCACTCTCCCCGCAAACAGACAGCTGCCCTAGAGAGCTGCACGGACACACAGGGAGAGACAGTCCCTGCCCTAGAGAGCTCACAGGACACAGGAGGGGAAACCGAGGCACCAAGCAGGGAAATGACGTGCCCAAGGCCAGTGGCACAGCCAGGAACAGTCCCAATCCAGGGCTCCGGCCTCTAGCTCACGCTGCTACAGCCTCGGCTATCTAGCAGCTCCTCAGGAAGAGCTAAGAAAAGCCATTTCAGCACAGAACAAATCACTAGCCAGAAAAGGGGCCTAATCCCCAGCAAATTCCCTGATCAAACAGGCTGGGGAGCGAGGCAAACCAGCCCCCACCCACTCCGCTTTGCAGCTGTGGCCCAACCCAAGGACCTTTGCTCCCGTCCCCGAGCGTTTCCCCGCCCAGGGCCCGAGGGCAGCTAGCACCGGCCTGACATGCCAGCCTTCTCCACAGCGCAGCCCCGCGTCTATTGCCTCATCCTCCACAGGGACAATCGGACTCGGCGCGCGACGGCTCTGGGATGCCGAGGGGGACAATGGGGGGGATGCAGCGCCAGCAGTGATTGCAACAGGCAGGATGCACAAAAGGCTCCTTCTCTTGCATCTGCACCGTGCAAGGCAAGCGAGCCAGACACACGCACGCGCTGCACATCCGGGCCATGCATGCTAATAAGATCATATCTGGGTCAGGCCACCCAGGAGCCGGTTGAGATCCAGGCCGCTCAGACAAAACACAACGGGGCCTGGGTCTCAAAACGGGTCACGTTTCTCGCTGCACGTTAACGGGCAGATTTCCCCGAGCGCTCGGCACCGATTTCATTAACTCCGGCACAGCCGCTCGTACCTCGATTTCAGCCCGGCTTCTAGCAGTTTCGCTTGTGTCGGCAAGTCGACAGGAGCCAGCTAAACCGATCTAGCCATTGACTGGCTGGGATTTAGTTAGACGGTGGCCGTTTCGGTGCCTGGACGGGGTGCCTGAATGGCGCTCTCCTGCAAGTCTGGCCCTAAGAATACAGGCCTCAGTGCTGGATCACAGATGTCAAGGGACCATCGCGCTCCTGCGCGATCCAGGCCAGAGATGATCAATTACCTGCAGCCAGCCCCATAACGTCTGCATGAGCCAGAGTGCATCTTACAGACAGACACCCCCCATGGCTCTGCAGCCGGTCCACTAGGTAATTCCCCTCCCTGTTAAAAATGTGCCCCTTATTTCCAGCCTGAATTTGCCCAGCTGCCGCTCCCCACTGCTGGGAGGGATAGCTCAGTGGTTTGAACATTGGCCTGCTAAATCCAGGGTTGTGAGCTCAATCCTTGAGGGGGCCATTTAGGGATCGGGGGCAAAAATCTGTCAGGGGATTGGCCCTGCTTTGAGCAGGGGGTTGGACTAGAGGATCTCCTGAGGTCCCTTCCAACCCTGATATTCTAGGGCCTGGTCTACACTACGAGTTTAGGTCGACTTTAGCAGCGTTAAATCGACTTAAGCCTGGACACGTTTACACTACGAAGCCCTTTCTGTCGACTTAAAGGGCCCTTTAAACCGGTTTCCTAACACCACCTCGACAAGGGGATTAGCGATAAAATCGACCTTAGGGGGTCGGAATTGGGCTAGTGTGGACGGAATTCGACATTACTGGCCTCCGGGAGCTATCCCACAGTGCTTCATTGTGACCGCTCTGGACAGCACTCTCATCTCAGATGCACTGGCCAGGTAGACAGGAAAAGCCCCGCGAACGTTTGAATTTCATTTCCTGTTTGCTCAGCGTGGAGAGCACAGGTGACCATGCAGAGCCCATCAGCACAGGTAACCATGATGGAGTCCCAGTCCCAGTCCCAGGATCGCAGAAGAGCTCCAGCCTGGACCGAACGGGAGGTACAGGATCTGATCGCCATCTGGGGAGATGAAGCAGTGCTCGCCGAACTCCGAAACAGTAAAAGAAACGGCAAAACATTAGAAAAGATCTCCAAGGCCATGAAGGACAGAGGCCATAACAGGGACGCGCGGCAGTGCCGCGTGAAAATTAAGGAGCTAAGGCAAGCCTACCACAAAGTCAGAGACGCAAACGGAAGGTCCGGGGCAGAGCCGCAAACATGCCGCTACTACGCGGAGCTGCATGCCATTCTAGGGGGTGCAGCCACCACTAGCCCAAGCGTGTTCTATGAGTCCCTCTCTGCAAACGGGGAAGCGGGTTCGGCGGACGAGGAAGATGAGGATGGAGAGAACATAGATAGCTCACAGCAGCAAGGAAGCGGAGAAACCAGTTACCCCAACAGCCAGGATATGTTTGTCACCCTGGACCTGGAAACAGTAACCCCCGAACTGACCCAAGACCCTGAGGGCACACAGGGGACCTCTGGTGAGTGTACCTTTGTAAATATTACACATGGCTTAAAAACAA